TTTAATCCACAGATTTCGTCGTTCCTTTTTTAGCTCGTTTAGACGATTCCCTAGATCTCTTAATGCTGCTGGGATCCTGAAAAACCTTTCTTTATCTCTTTCCGCTCTACTAGAGCACCTAACAACGCAGCAAATAGAAGGCATCTTCACAAAATAGATTGAAAATTCTTGGTTTAACATTGAATCAGGTTATGTTTGGCTTTTGTGTGCCCCCCAAACTAATATGGCGGATCGGTTATGACATTAACCTGGAGTGCGTTCAAAGACGGCAATGCTAATGCCAAAACCTACTATTCCCCTTCTACCGGCAATGCCAAATCTGGTGTGAATTTTCTGGAACGCCAAATACTGTTTGTCAATTAGGCAATCCAAACCACGTGACATTCAAGATGGCGTGGCGACCATACATGGACCAAAAAACACAAAAAAATATCTAGTTTCTGCCCGACTTAATAGTTTACGTACTTAGTTAACAAATATTTTATTGAATAATCAAAAGCAAAGCTGCAAACAAACAAAATAATTGAAATATGCATGAAAACACATATTCAAAACTAACATGCTGGCCGCTACGCCATATTGAATTTGGTCTCATCCAATCAAAATTCGTATAACCATATCTAGACTCAGTTGAAAGAGCCTCCAAAAGTTACTTTACCGCGGCCAATTTGGAACGTGTAAAGCCAACCGTTTTTGGCACGCTGGAGCCGAACTTGAACGCAATATGCCAAATTTGGCTCGGCTTTAGCCGTTTTTGAACGCAGCCCTGGAATGCCTAATAAAGCAAAATTTAAATAATTTTGTGATAAACTATGTTCTTTCATTGTGCTTCACAAAATTAAATTATAATTGGATTGAAAGAATGTTTTTAATATGTAAAATCCTAATCATTCACTTTCGTCACTAGATATTTTATCACTAGTGACGAAAGTGAACTTTTCGACTAAGGTGAAATATGACGAAGTTGTTTATATATTTTCCAACGGTCATAAAAAAATGATTTTTGACGAAAGAAGTCTATTTTTCAGTGGCCAGAAAAAAAGTTTTTTGCAGATGCTAGTTTGTTTGTGCAATGAGATTTGGATTTTGTTGGAATTTTTGACATTTTTATACCTTCACAACATACATTTATTATTAAAACCCAAGAAACGTAAACTAACAGGATTGCTCATCCTGAAAAGGCGTACGTTCGCCGGTTCTCGAGTCCACAAGGTCTGCGAGTGACGTCACCATGTCAGCAGCTAACATTGGTGACGCCATCCGCAGACCTCGATGAAATGTTTGCGATTCAGGCTCGTTATTTGATTTTTGCGTCGATTTTAAATGTAGAAATAGCTATTTATGTAACAAGTTGTAAAATGAGCGTATTTTTTGCACTAAATGTGAAGATTGGGTGGAAAAAGCGGGAAAACCGGGACAATTCACGTGAAAAGCGGGACCTGAAATTAATTAAAAAAAGGCGGGACCGATTAACAAAATGCGGGACTGTCCCTCCCAAGGTGGGACGTCTGGCAACCCTGTTTGCACCACAGGTTATGATTCTGCGGGCTTTTGCTTGCATACTGGTTTTAGTCAATAAACTAAACAAACACACTGGAAAGGCGGCTGCATAATTGTTTCTACGCGAGGGTTTGTGCCAGGAAGAGCAACAAACAAGAGGGATTTGCATCTCTCTCTGCACTATGGCGGCTATTGAGAACAGCTGTTTGAAGTGTTCGGATCATTGAGGTAAGGAAGATGAAGAAGCTCTTCTTTTTTTTACATTAATTGCAATGAGTGCGAGCGAGACAATAATTCCTCCGTATTGCTGGGTTGCATACATCAAAATTTGGCTGCTTTATGCTAGAGTAGTGCGTCCGTTCCAGAGTGTTTGTTTATTTCAATGGTTTTAGTACATTATTAACATCCTAAATCAAAATTAAATTATATTTTTCTTCATTTATGTATGTATATTCTAATACACGACCACTGGCACAAACAGCTGGACGACGTAGTTGATGACGTTGTCAATGGTACTGCACAATATGGCCGCGATTCCCAAAAACGGGGCCGATAAGCAATCCTGTGTAGTAGTATGTATCATCCTTGGGATGTTTGTACCACAGGGTCCACAGGTTATGATTCCTGGCTTTTGCTTTATGCATACTTGGTTTTACTTCATTTATTAAAAAATATTTCTCATCATAAATTCATATTCTAATCTACGATCGCTGATGCAAACAGCTAACGACATCGTTGATGACGTTTGCAACGGTGCAACAACCATGATTCCAAAAATCGAGGCCGGTGAGCAATAGAGCAATCCAGTAGTAGTAGTAGTGTTTAATATCCTCAATCTACAACAACCAAACAAAATTTAATACCCTGAAATATTTTACCAATGTTTTGCACTCAGTTCAAGTAGCGTATTTCATTGGTAGAGCAAGTGCAACACTGGTGCAATATTCGTGATCGATTGGCACTAGTTGTATTCCTTTCACACCTAGGAGGAGCTCCGGAACAGCTCCTGGGCGTTACGCGCTTATTCCTTTCGAAAAGTGTTTGTTGCATCTGAGTGCTCAAGCCCGACTCAAACCATTTAAATGCATGAAAGCCAGCGCATCTGTTCCTTTCAAATCGGGGTCGACTAACACCGGAGCGAGTAGCTCTAGTGTTTCAAGCTCTTGAAAGGAATACAACTAATTATTTGGCAGAGTCCGCGCTGCACTTTTGTATATTGGGAAAGCAATGCAATGAATTTTGCACCGAGTCCTGTTGGTGGCGTTGTTGCGCCACCTGCTAAAAAGCTCGTGACGCACTCAGCGCTGCTGTTTATTGTTATTTCTAAAATTGAGGTTATCGGTGGTTGATGGTTTTTCATAAAAAAACAGTCCCAAATTTTATTTTTTTAATGTGTTTTTTATTGTCTACGAATCTACTACCAAAAATGTCAAAAATCGCTTGTTAATATATGTCAATTGCCTTGATGGACAGTAGCAGTAGCAGTGTAACCAGTGAATATGAAGAAAATTTAGAGCTTATAATAAGCACAAATATTATTTTTCTAATGAAATTCCATATTTGAGGTTTGATGTATATGAGATGGTGCAGTACGATGATGTTTCATTGTTGTATTCCTTTCAAGACTTTAGAACAATAGAGCTCGCTCCAGTAGTTGTATTCCTTTCACACCTAGGAGGAGCTCCGGAACAGCTCCTGGGCTTCACGCGCTTCTTCCTTTCGAAAAGTGTTTGTTGCACCACGCATCTGTGCCTTGCAAATTGGGGGCTACTAAACACCGGAGCGAGTAGCTCGAGTGTTTCAAACTCTTGAAAGGAATACAACTAGTGTTAGTCGGCCCCGATTTGAAAGGAACAGATGTGCTGGTTTTCGTGCATTTAAATGGTTTGATTTGGGCTTGAGCCTTGAGCCACTGCTTGAGAACTTCAGGTGCAACAAACGCTTTTCGAATGGAGTAAGCGCGTAACGCCCCGGAGCTATTCCGGGGCTCCTCGTAGGTGTGAAAGGAATACAACTATTGGGTCTGCACGCTTGCATTTTTTCAAGTGTCAGTGCAAAATGAGTGTTGCACTTGCTCTACCAATGAAATACACTATTCCTTTCACATCTGGGAGAAGCTCCGGCAAGGATGCAGCTCCGGGGCGTTACGCGCTTCCTTTCGAAAAGTGTTTGTTGCACCACGCATGTGTTCCCTGTTCCTTTTAAATCGGGGGCGACTAACACCGGAGCGAGTATCTCGAGTGCTCTAAACTCTTGAAAGGAAATAAAGGAATACAACTTATAGCGTATTTTATTGGTAGAGCAAGTGCAACACTAGTTTTGCACTGACACTTTAAAAAAACTGCTCGCGTACAGTCCCAATGAAACATCATCGTACTGCACCATCCCATATACGTCAAAAAAAAAATAGAATTTCATTGAAAAAATTATACTTGTGCTTATTATAAATAATTATTATAATTTAATTTAAAAAAAAGTTTTTGCCTCTTTGCTAGAAGCCCTAAATATTCTTCATATTCACTGGTTTTCCTGCTGCTGCTACTTTCCATCAAAGCAATTGCCTTCAACAAGCGATTTTTGACATTTTTGGTAGTAGATTCGCAGACAAATATAAAAAACACAATAAAAAAATACCATTTAGGACTGTTTTTTTATGAAAAATCATCAACCACCAATAACCTCAATTTCAAAAATAACATTAAACAACTGCACTGAGTGCGACACGAGCTTTTTAGCCGGTGGCGCACTAGCAGCACTCGGTGCAAAACTCGGTGCATTGCTCTCCCAATGAAATACAAAAGTGCAACGCGACTCTGCCAATGGATCACAAATATTGCACCAGTGTTGCACTTGCTCTACCAATGAAATACGCTATTATAGTGCAACGAGTGCAGTGCAATAACAAGTCGTGACGTGAATCGTGACGATCGTGACCAATCGTGACTGAGCAAGTTCCGATATCAACTGTCAGTACTGAATTTACTGGACGCCGTTCCGATATCATTTTCAGAACACTGGATTCAGGATTCAGTTGATTCAGTACTGAATGACCACAAGAGTACGCTGAAATCGGAACGGCAAATGACAAATGACAGTAAAATCAGCACAGTAAATCCAGTACTGGCAGTTGATATCGGAACATAGCCTGACTGTAGCCGCTTTCCAGCTGTGTGCTTCAAGCACGGTGCAGCACAGTGTTCTGTGTTTGAAACGCAAAAGTTAACAGCTCTTGAAACGCAGTACGGCTGGAACACGAACACGCGCTTGAAGCATTTGCGCGCGGAAAAGTTCGATTAGTTGTATTCCTTTCAAGAGCTTGAAACACTCGAGCTACTCGCTTCGGTGCTTAGTCGCCCCCGATTTGCAGGGAACATATGCGTGGTGCAACAAACACTTTTCGAAAGGAATAAGCGCGTGAAGCCCCGGAGCTGTTCCGGAGCTCCTCCTAAAGTGTGAAAGGAATACAACTATTGCGTGTTCAAAAGCGTCAGCGGAAAGCGGCTTGTAGCAGCATGACAGCTGACACCAATCCAATGTCAGCATGACTCTGCCAGAAATTTTTTTGTTGTGCTAAAATCTTTTTCCAAATTTTCACGAAAGAGAAACTAAATTATCAAAAAGAACTTAAAATAAACATAAAATAAAAATGACTACATTAGACGATAAATCTTTGTGGGAGGACGGTGAAGAAGCCCTAGGCGAAGAAGTGTTGCGAATGTCCAGCGATGAAATAGTTAGCAGAACAAGACTGATGGACAATGAAATCAAAATAATGAAAAGCGAGGTGATGAGGATTAATCACGAATTGCAAGCGCAAAACGAGAAGATTAAAGAAAACACTGAGAAAATAAAAGTAAACAAAACCCTGCCTTATTTGGTGTCGAATGTGATTGAACTTTTGGATGTGGATCCGCAAGAAGAGGAAGAAGATGGAGCTGTTGTTGATTTGGATTCACAAAGAAAAGGTAGAAAATCTATCCAATGATTTAATTTCATTATAGCAAGTTTTATTTAGGAAAGTGTGCAGTAGTAAAAACATCCACTCGCCAAACCTATTTCCTTCCTGTAATAGGGCTCGTAGATGAAGAAAAATTGAAGCCGGGAGATTTGGTTGGTGTCAACAAAGATTCTTATCTTATTTTGGAAACTTTGCCAGCTGAATATGATGCCAGAGTAAAAGCTATGGAGGTAATTCATATTTAAATTTAATCTAAAGCCATACCTAAATTACCTATAACTATTATTAGTGAAAATCTAATTTACCTACCTAGTTCCTCACCACAAAATAACAGGTTCTTCCTTTATCTCAAAATGCTATACTGTCCATGATCACTTCAATCGGAAAATTGAATTAAAACTCTCCTCAATGAATGGTAGGTATCTGAACAGAGTCTGGTATAAAATTCTTCTATAATGTTGTATAGTGAGTACTTTTTATATCTGATATTGCTTCGGATATTTCAATTCAAACAAAAAGTGCTATTAACATTTGGAGGTGTGTGCAGTTTTTCTGAGACTACTATAGATTACAATGATCATTGACCAATGCAATCAATCAACAGAGCTAAATCAGCTGAATTATAATCATGTAGGGATGTTGACATCAAATGATACATCGAATATGCACAATCGATGTTGTGAAAACATCGGCTTGGAAATATCGATGTTTCTAAACATCGATGTTTTTTAAAATATGGTAAGAAAAAATTGAACTGTTAATAAATAGAATACATTTTTACTATCGAGTTTAATACAGGTAATAAATACGATTTATAATGAAGAAAAAGTACATTTGAAAGCAAACAATAGCAAGAACTAAGCCTAGGGAGTAAATCTAGTTAGATACTTGACTTAAATAATAATAATAATAATAATAACGTTTATTATGCATCAAAAGAAATTACATAAAAGGTAACATTCACGTAATGTGTTCTTCCATGCTACCCGAAAAAATAAATAAATAAATAAATACAGAATTCAATGCCTATTCTAAGCTACGCTATTAATTCCAGCAGAGAAGCCTTGTACTTCTTTTTAAAGTTTACCAGTGAACCTGAAATCATAAATTCATACACCTCTGTATTAAGTAGTTGTACCGCTCGGTAAGAAAATGAGTTTTTAAAACCTTCGGTTATGTGCCGTGGTATTTGAAATCGTATAATGTTTCTCAGACAGCGACTGTGTAGGTCTTGTCTTACTATAAGATATTCTGAGAGATAGGATGGGTAACCAGATTGAAAAATTTTATAAACGAATTGACCAAAGTGCAAGGCTGCTCGCTGTTCATATTTTAGTATCTTATTTTCTACATAGGTTGGCGTAATATGGTCAAATTTTCTAATGCTAAAAATAAATCTCATACAAGCATTTTGAGCTAACTGAATTTTGTTTTTAAATTCAACATTCAGGTAGTTATAGAAGACAACATTGCAATAGTCCAACTGTGACCAAATAAGAGTCTCCACTAACATCAATTTAATGTTGTGAGGTAAATTATCCTTAAACGGGTACAAACTCTTAAGTACAGCATAAACACATGACAATTTTCTGTTGACGTGCACCTGAAAGTTAAGACTTTCGTCGAAAGTCACACCCAGATTTCTTGCTGATTCTGAGTTAGGTAGAGTAGTACCGTTTATGTGCAATGTAGTGAAATTAAAACGCAAAAATTGACTTCTGCCGGCATTAGAGCCCATAATCATATATGTGCTCTTACTAGCATTTAGAACCAACCCATGTTGACTTGACCATATAAATATCGAGTCTAAGTCGTCATTTATTCTCTGCATACACACACAGGCATCCTGAGGAGCAAAACCTAACAGGAGCTGCGTGTCATCGGCATAGAGATTGATGGAGCAAAACCGAACCTGCTTTGGAAGATCGCTAGTATAAATGCTAAATAATAATGGCCCAAGTACACTTCCCTGAGGGACTCCATAACCAGTTGTAACAGACTCAGATCTTGCTCCATCAAGCTCAACCACCTGTGTTCTAAGTAGAAGGTAGTTCTTGAACCATTTGCAGACAGCCTCTGAAAAACCATAGAACCTCATTTTAGCCACAAGCATGTCGTGATGTATAAGATCGAAAGCCTTACTATAGTCTAGCAGTGCTAGACAAGAAACCCTTGATGAGTCAATATTAGTTGATACTTCAGAAGACACTTTTGTAAGGGCGGTAGCAGTTCCATGATTTTTCCTAAAGCCAGACTGCACAGCTGGTATAATATTATTGGTATTTACAAATTCAAGCAGCATATCAGACACTAGTACTTCGAACATTTTGGCAAATATTGGTAAGAGACAGATTGGCCTTAGTTCAGAAAAATTTTCTATTTTATTTTTCTTTGGCAAAGGCTTAACAATGGCGCTCTTCCACATTTTTGGAAATTCCCCCATTTGTAAGGATATATTGAATAGCTTAGCTAGAAACGGAGCAATACAATCAATGCTAAAAAGAACAAGATTGTAACTTATTTGGTCTATACCCATACTTTTAGATTTAATTCTTTTAAATGCCTTATAAATATCATATTCTGAAATATTTTTAAAAATAAGCTCACCATTGTTAAGGCTCTCCAGCCTATTGCCCTGATAAAAATTCATTCGTAAATTGTCTATCGGAGTAGCTAATTGACATACACTCGCAAAAGAGTTACTGATTTGATCCACATCTTTCAAATGAATAGGTATTTCACTGTTTTTATTAACCTTGATATTCCAATCATTGATCCTATTCCAAATTTTCTTTGTATCTTTTTTATGTTTATGAAGTTCAAATGACATGTATGCTTTCTTTTCACTTCTAATTGCAAAAGAAAGATAGTTTTTAATGTCCAGATAAAAGTGCTTGTGTTCAATTTGACCAGTTTTTTTAAATTTATTGAATGCTGTTTTCTTTAATTTAATAATTTGCCTAATAGTGTCAGTAATGTAAGGTTTATACTTTTTTTTAATAACTGCTTTTTTTGTTGGGGCATGTTTATTGAAGATGCCAGCCAGCTGGTTACTGAAACAAGCTACCTTGTCATCCAACATTTCATGGCAGAAAATAAATTCATAATTTATGTCCTGTATCTCTAATTCAAATTGCCTCCTATCAAAGTGCTTTAAATCTCTATAAGATATAACCTTATCATCTATTTTGGGAGCTTTGATGCTAATTGAAGAGTACACAAGTCTATGATCAGTTAGGTTAAGCATGCCCAATGTTCCTGGGGGGGTTTATTTGAAATGTGCAATTCAAATTCGTCTGACTAAGTCGCATTTTTTAGCATTGAAATACCGGCAAAAATTGCGACAGTCAGACGTATTTGAATTGCACCTTTCAAATAAACCCCCCCTGACTCAATAACACTGACACCCTTATTGACACAAATAATATCAATTAGAGTTGCACTATTTCTACTTATTCTAGTGGGTTCAGAGATGACTCGTTTCAAATTATAAATTTCTAACACTGATTCCATATAATCAGAGTCAGCAGTTTTAGTAAGAAAGTTTATATTTAAATCACCCATTAAAATTGTGTAGTCATATGATGAGGACAAGCTAGATAAAATATTCTCTAAACTAGATAGGTAGTTATAGTTGACCAGTGGGGGTTTATACAAAGTACCAACTAAAAAAGACTTATTTTTATAGTTGATATCCACCCATAGTTGTTCAACTTTATTGTCACAGTTTTCCGTTGATATGAATACGAGTAACAATCATATTTGAATCACAATTATTATCCAAGAACAGCAATTTTGACTATTTTTTTCCTTTTCCATATAATTCTTGTATTGTGTCGTGTCAAAATTTGTCCTGCATTTGAAAATAGTCTCCCATATGGAACCGAAGCTGCTACAACGCTCAAATATTTTGAAGCTATCTTTGATAGTCGCAGATATACAGTAGTAGTAGTAGTAGTAGTAGTACTGTAGTAGTAAATATGCTTTATTGTCCAAGAATACAAAAATCTTATTGACAAAGTTAACCCAACTTAAATTAAATTTTACAATTAAACCTAGAAGCCAGCAAGTCAACAATATCAATCAAATTAAAATTACCGTAGGCAATAATTTACAAAAATAATAAATACATTCATTTAACACAACATTTCTTGACATAGGTTTCAAAGACTAGTGGACACAACAACAGCAAAAAAAAAAAACCTTTATTTAGTAGGTATGTCAGTCAAATTAAGATAAATAAATAAATAGGTAAAATATAAAACAATACAGAAATACACAATTGAAAAAATACACAATATGCTACGCTAGTGCTATACACAGACAGAGATAAAAAACAATATGTATGTCATAAATAAAAAAAAATATATAAACAATAAAAAGTCCACAAAAGGTTGAATTTAAAATTGAGTAACTGTTGACGGAATAAGAGACAACTATTGGTTAAAAGGATAATTAAAATACTCATCGAGCGAATAGAAAGCTGGCTTCACCAGTGCTCCCTTTAAGGTTTTGAGATATTTGATATGGTTTTGAAAGATCAAAGAATGTTTATGCCAAATTTCAGCAAATTCTGATGTGTCGTTTTTTTTTTGTAGTCTAAAACCGATTTTTTTTTTTTTTTTTTTACGGATATGCGCACTCGCAAGGAAATGTCCTATCACGCTCGAGAAGCGGCAAGTGCGCGGAAATGTCGGTGTATGTTGGTCTTGAAACGGTTCAGGTTGTAACCTGCAGGGAAAACCGTCGCAGGGAGTTTATTCCACAGCGATGCAGTTCTCCAGAGATATGAATTCTTTATTCTGATATAATGAGGTTCTTGGTGCCTCTAGTTTGACAGTAAATTCATGGTTACCGTCTGTTTGACGGGTTCGCCTGGTAGGTGCTACTCTCGGTGGAATCATACGTGCCAACTTTTCAGAGCATTTTCCGTGATAGTACCTGTAGAAGAGAGATAAATCGCCCACAGATCTGCGATGTTCGAGACCATCCAAGTTACGAGTAAGTGCAGGGTCATTGATCAGCTTGATAGCTCGTTTTTGCACGGTATTCAAAAGCATTAAGGTATGTTTGGGTGCTGCACTCCATATATGTGAGCAGTACTCCATAGTTGGTTGAATCTGGGCTTTGTAGAGTGTCAGCAATTGGCTTGGTGTGTATAGATGTCTTGTACGAAATAGCACCCCCACCTTTGGGAGGCCCTTTTAGCAATATCTGCCACGTGACTGTG